CCACACACACACGCAAACACACAACGCATACAAAAAAGTTTTTTAACTGTACTGGAGAAACGGGTTTGCTAACGCCCGGCCAAAAACTTGACCAAAAGTTGAAAAAACCTAAAAACGTTTCCTATTTTCTGCCGTTTTCTTTTTTTAAATGAATGTCTTGTCGCACATTTATTGAATGCGTGATATCGGTCTAACCTAAATGTGACCAGCTTTAAAAATATTTTAGTTTCATAGTGTACAGTTTGAAGCAGCAAACTCATGGCTGAGTACATGTTACTTTTCAGCATGTTTACAATATAGGTTTGTTACCTTTGGTGTTTACCATTAAATCATTTGTAGGATCAGAAAGTGGACCAGTGACTCCAAATTATAGTGACGGTTTATTCCGCATCAGAATTAAGAACATTTCGCTGCAAAAATAGCCAAATCATTACGATAATCAAACGTCTGAAGGATCTAGCTTAAAGTGTAGGCAAAAGATAACCAACAGGTTTTCTTGTCCTAGTAATGTTAAAATTTTCAAAAATCTATTCCACCATGGAAGAAAACAAGCTAGGGCCCGCCCTTCCGTCGAGCCGAGTTGCCAGCTCCGCTTCGCTGCGCCGTCAACTCGGTCCGACAGGGGGCCGGCCCAGCTTGGCCTGCCGGCGGCCTTTCCTCGGGCCTTCGGCCCTCGCATCAGACCCAACTTGGCCAGTCGAAGGCCCGGGCCTTCGGCCCGCTCGCATCACACACCCCGTGAGCGGGTAAAGCAAAGTTATCGATGTACCATCGTTACTTAGGCCCGCCCTTCTATTCACAATACGCAAAAGTCCTTACACTTTTTACTCCAACTGTCCTTAGAATATGCTCATTTCATTTGTCTCTTGGCCCTCATTCCGAAAATACCCATATCTGCCATGCTACTGCAACTCCTTGCAATAGAGGCACAGCAGGAGCGCAAAACGAGTCCGTCGCACTTTTTCCCATAACTCATGAAGGCGCGCTCCTGGACCCCCCTTCCGACCCCTCGTTGAAGAGGTCTTGCCAAGACCTATCGAAAACTTAAGTAAAAATTTTTAGTCGGTCGACCCCCTTTTTTCAAGATTCTAATGTGACTTATAGACGAAGTCGGGCTCCTGGACCCCCTTTCTGACCCCTCGTTGGAAAGGTCTCGCTGAGACCAATCGAAATCTGCAATTAATGTTTTTAGTCGGTCGACCCCCTTTTTTGAAGATCCTGCCCTGGCCAACTTGTAAAAGCGGCCGATGGGGTCGGGACCAGGTCCATTCATCTTGTCTCGTCACCCCGATTCCAAAAATACCCATATGTGCCATGCTAGCACCAATAATGGCGGAAATCCCCCTCCCGCTCATGTAAACCATGATGCACTTGCAGCAGCCCTTGTGCGACCCGGACGGGATTTGCACCGCCGGATTATTTGTTGGGACGGTACTCCGGAAGTACCTTCCAAATCTGATTACTCTAGCCCAACTCCTTCCTTGTACACAGACGCCAACAACGACAACAACGACAACAACACACAGACAGGCCCCCCCACTACTTTTTGAATAGAAGGGCGGGCCAAAAAATGAACTAACCTGACAATCTTTTGAAAAATAAGCCACCGTTTGCAACAGAAGTTTCAAAAGTTGTTCACTTGCAATAGTTTTCCGAGGACACCAAAGCCATGATAAAGCGTCACACATCCTACCGGGGGGGGGGGGGGGGGGGGGGCAGCAAGAGGAAAATTTTTTAAGTCCCCAATGACTGTAGATCTGACGGTCTCCGAGCGTGTGCCGCAGTCTAGCTGACTCGATATGTTCGTGGGCAAATCGCCTCTGACCGCGGTCATATCACATCCAACCGCAGTCGGACTCGGCTCACCACAAACCAAAATTTTGCTTTCTACCTCAATTCGTTGGGTCAAGTCAGCCAGAAAACACTTAAAACACGGCAGAAAAAGACACCTTTTTTGGCGAAGCGATATCGAAGCCCGTTACTCTAATAGGGTTAAAAAACTTTTTTAGTCTGCGTGCGTGCGTTTGAGTGTGTGTGCGTGTGTGCTCTTCTCCTCCCCAACGGGTCGGCAGGTCTGGCTGAGATTTTGCAGAGTCATTAGGTCTTTCCTTGGCTCCCCAAACACAAAAATATCTCAATCCGTTTTGTCATTTAAGCCAAAAAAAACACTTAAGGAAGCAGAAGCGTCATTTGCACGCATTTGGACGATTATCGAACCTCCTGTTTAGACGTTTATAGAGAGATGAGTATGAATGCCAGAGACAAACGGCAGGTACCATTTTAAAGAGGGAAGTTTTTACAACATTTAAAAAAAAAAACACATTTTGTTTTTGCATTGAATTAGGATGTTTTGTTTTCTATGCAAATTTGGTCTGCAAAATTACATGGTGTCACTGCGCGCACGATTGCAGCCAAAGTTTTTAACTTTTTGCCAATCGGTAAAATCCATCTGTAAAAGCATGAAATTGCCCATAAAATGATCCTTGGGTTTCAATATTGGGCAAGAAAAAATGTGGTGCGTTTCCATTCAAAGTTAAAGATGAGCGTTTCAATAGTTTTTCTTGCCCGAGGGTCATTTAAAAGGCAATTTTATGCTTTTTCAGATCCATTTTACCGATTGGTAAAAAATAAAAACTTTGGCTGCAATCGTGCGCGCAGTGACACCATGTAATATTGCAAGACCATTTTTGCATAGAACACAAAACTTCGTTCAAAACTTGATTTAATGCTTAAACAAATTTTTTTTCAAAATGTTTTAAAAGTTTTTTATTTAAAATGGTACCTGCCGTTTGTCTTTGGCATTCATTCTTGTCTTTCTATTAACGTCTGAACAGGAGGTTCGAAAGTCGTCAAAATACGTGCAAATGACGCTACAGCCCCCTTAAAAACGGCAGAAAAAAACAACTTTTTATGTATTTTCAACGTTTTGTCAAGTTTAATGTTCTATGTCTTTGAGGCTGCCGATAACAAAAATAGGACCTGTTTGAGGCCTTGACCCAAAATTTAGTTCCATTAGTGTAGATTTTGATTACGTTATGTTATCGTTTAAAGGGATCACGCCCATTCCTACGGTGTGTCTAGACAGCCAGCAGGAGGCAGGCTAGCGCCGCGGGCGAAAGTGAGATTAGACACCGGGCGTGGATTGTCGAAACTGGCACAGCATCGCGAAGCCTGTTAGGACAGAACACGGTCTTGCGTGCACCTGCCTTGTTATTTCGTTGGCTGAGCGAAAGCGAAGCCTGTTACTCGACTTGGGTTAAAAATCTTTTCCTGTCTGTCTGTGTGCGTGGGTGTGTACACTTCTCCTCCTCAACGGCTCGGCCGATCTAGCTGAGATTTTGCAAGGTCGTTAGGCTTCTTGGCTTACTGCGCACCAAAATTCAGCCTTCTACTTCAATCCATTCTGTCATATTGACCAAAAAACACTTTAAAAAACGGTAGCAAGAGACAACTTTTTTGGTACTTTCCACTTTCTGACAAGTTATATACCGTTTCCTATATTTTGGCGGGCGCTGATGACGAAAATAGAACCCATTCTGACACCCGACCTTAAGTTAAGTCCCATTAGTGAGGACGTCGAACACTTATATCCAATTTTTTGGAGATTAGGCTCATTTCTACGGTTTGACTAGGAAAGCAGCCTGCCGAAGGCAGGCTAGCACCGCAGGCCAAGGTAAGGGTTTATGCCAGGCGTGGTTTCTTGAAACTGGCCTAGCATTGTGAAGCCTGTTATGACAAGAAATGGTCTGGCGTACACCTTACCTTGCGACATCGGATCATTTTATCTACCATATCGGGACCTGATCACGAGCTATTAAAAATTGGGCTTAAGATTTGGATTGAACTCAGTTTCGACCTTCTCCCCCTCAGGAAGTTGTCGTTTCTTTGGAATGTGCCCCGGCATGAGCATATGATCAATGTTTCAAGTTGCCTTACTTATTAGAACTATCCATTCAGAAAACGCACAATCAGATCCAATGCATCAGAGATTGTGCCAATCAGAAAAAACTAACCAGGTGTTCGCCAAAGTATCAATGGATTTCCTTATCAGAAAATATCCTGATTGACCAATCAGGAATTTCCTGAATTATATCTTGATGAAATTTTCACCAGTGAGAGTCGCTGTCGCTTAGACAAAGAGTACTGAAAGTGTATAAACTCTCATTCAATTGTATATAATCGCCAATAATAGTCAAAAAACGCTGATTCATTGGGAGCTGATCCTGGTTACATGGAAAGGACAAAGGAGAGGGATTGTTTTTGTGAAATTCCCAGCCTTTACTCATTCTACTCCAAACATCACTTTCTTCTTCGGGTATCAATTTGTTTGTTACAGGATGCGGAACGTTTCGAGCACCAGGTCCACAAATCGCAGGTGGAGAAAAAGCAACCCACGTACCTTGGCACATTGCAATCTATGAAAATCGACAAAATACCGGCATTACACCTATCTGTGGGGCATCTCTTGTCAGCCCACGTTGGGCTATTACAGGTACGGCCTTCTGAAAGGTGCTTAAATTGCCCTTTATCTAAAAAAACAGGAATATTGGCGATTGAAATCATCAACTTTGGCCTGTTCCTTACACTTCATATATCCCAAATTTTATCTACACTGGCGGAAAAATTTAAGGGACACGTTTTTTAAATGACCTTTAATCTCGAGTTTCAAAGCTAGTGGGCTGCAACTTTGACACAAGTTGCCTTCAAGTGTCCTTCAGACTAAGGTGGGTCGAAAATCCCAGGATTAAACGGCGTTTGGTTTTCTTTGCAGTTAAAGACAAAAGAAAAGAGATCCCACAATGCTGAAGTGTGGTGACGTCACCTTCTATCTCTTAAGAGGCTCCAAACTTGGGTCTTTTAGTGAAAAATTGCACTTTTGGCCCTACAGAGACCAAACCAGGGATCGCCTAGGATGCGGCTATCTCGCGATGGGTGCGAACTATTTTCCTTTAAATCCCTGCAAAGTCTGGGCGATGTGGGTTAAATTATTGGTTGGGCCCGGGCATTTGTTTAAACGCTAAGACAAAATTGCAAAACACTAGAAATTGGATTTAAGGGTCTTTTGTTTGCTCAAAGGTCCCATATTCTTATACAAACGGAAAAGGCTTAAAAAAATGAAATTTTGGAAAATATATTTCTTTGTGATCAGACGAAAATTGTTACCAGGGCGAAACTTTACACATTTCGGCAAAAGCTCAAAAACACAAAAAAGTGATCTTTAGATAAATATGTATTGCCTTTGGATCCAATATGATCATACTGTTCAAAAGATCTAAAAAAAAGAAAAAATTTGGTAAATGAACTTTTGTGATTGAGCAAAAACTCGAATTGTTGCAAAATTATTATCAATCAAAGCGAAGCAAAGCCCTTGTTAGGCAAGAGATGGCCCGACGAACGCTCTCACTTTCTTCTATAAGTAACAACAAATCGAGTTTTTGTCCAACCACAAAACTTTATATACCAAAATTTTGCATTTTTTTAGATCTTTCAAACAGAATGATCATACCCTTGCAAAATGGAAAACATATGGGCACTATATGGACAAAATATATGGCCCAACATGTATTGACGACATATGTGGAAAAGATAATTTAGCAAGATACTTTTCCGATATAGATAATATGTGGCAAATATATAAATTTCATACATGGCTCTATATATGTAGGCAATATATAATGTGAATACACCATGGAGTCTGACGACCCAGAGACTTCCTTTACCATTAGCAAAGAATGTAAACTTCGCCTTGCGAGGACATCTAGTAGTGATCCTACCGCAAAGAACTTTTCGCGCTACACCCAAAAATGACGTTTAAAATTTCCGAACTGTTCCAGTAAACTTGTTGAACAGGATTTCTCGAAATTTCTTGGAGACTTAAACGCATAGAAAAGAACCTTGCCCCTGCTCAATATATGGCGTCAATATATTTTACAAGATAAAATAATGTTGAGAAATATAGCCGCCTTTCAACATCGAGTGCCAAGATTTTAAGAAAAGTTACTTGAAAAGTCTGCCCTCCTCACCCTGCCCCATCCCACGGCAGGCACCGTGTCAGATATTGAAACATACATTTCGCGAAATAATATTATATGGGTAAATACATGCATCATATATTAACGGGCACCAAGATATACCCCCATATATAAACCACGTATGGCGCAAGATAATTTGCAATATATTGAGCAAGATACAATTATATTGACAATGCATGAAACATATATGGAGTAATATATTAACACATATTTTCCATATATTTTCCGTTTTGCAAGGGTATTGGATCCAGAGGCAATTCATATTCTACAAAACATCCCTTTTTAGTGTTTTTGAGCTTTTGTTCAGATGTGTCAATTTTCGCCCTGGCAACAATTTTCGTCCGATCACAAAGTTTTATATACCAAAAAATTTCATCTTTTGAGCCCTTTTCATTTGTATAAGTACATATGTGGGACCTTTGAGCAAACAATAAACCCTTAAATCCAATTTTGAGTGTTTTGCAACTCTGTTTCAGGGGGCACACCAGTGAAAACCGTCAAATTTTTGCCTTATTTTATATTTTATCTTATTTTTCTGCTATTCATCCCGAGTCAAATGCCGCAAACCCAACCCCTAAATTCCCCTTACTTTGGCTTGTGCACATTTTTGGCCCGTCCCGTTAATTTTTTGTAAAAAAATGCCGGAGGGACGGGCATATAGCATGATCCCTGCTGTGCGTCCGTCCGTCCGTCCGTCCGTCCGAGGACTTCCCGTGGTCCGATCTTGACAAAATTTGGTATGCAGCCTCCTTGGGTGACCCTAAGAACCGCCCGGTGGCAGCAAATCCGATCCGAGCCCCGGGGGCGCTGCTGCAGGTGCATCATGGTCTACATGGGGTCGAGGAGGATTTCTGCAACGGATACAGCTAGGAGGGCATGTAGGGGTATTTTTGGAATCGGGGCGACGAAACAAAACCAACGGTGCCAGTTTCAAGCGAATCGGAGAAGTTTGGACCCGGGTTCGAATCCCTGTGGGGTATATTTTGGACATTCTTTTTGTTCAAATTTTTGCATTGTTACTGATGTTTTTGAGGGCGCTGATGACGAAAATAACATTGTTTTGACCCCAGACTCAGGTTCAAATCCCATCAGGGTTAAACATAGGCGAAATTCGCACATTCCCTGATGAACGGGACGGGCCAAAGTTGCCGATGTATATCGCTACTTTTCCTGTTATTTAGGTTGCTAAAAAGGTAATTATTTTTGCATATTTTTGACCAATTGTTGACGTTCAGGTTTTTCACTTGAACTTCAACTGCAAACCCCTTGAACCACCCAAACGCAGTTGAAAAGAGGAACATTTTGGCGCAAACTGAACTAAAATACGTCATAAGACGCATTTATAATCCGAAAAAAACACGTCAAACCTATGTTTCCACATAAATAGCTTTTTCTCAAAACACCTTTTTTGTACCTTAGTGCCACTCTCACGGGCGCAAAAATTAAGATAATTAAATGCGATTTGCGGCAAAATGTTCGCTAAACTTGCGTCTATGGTCTGAACCTCGAAAATGGCTATCCCACAAATAGGACGTGAGCTGCAGCCATGAAAGCGCAAAAAAATCGGTTGAAAAATTTGTTTCTAATTTTGCCTTTTGAAAAAACGCATTCAAAATCATTCTTTTTGCATGCCCGTGGTTCAGACCATAGCCACATGTGTCCTGTTGAGAAATTTTCAAATCCCATGCTCAAGGCTCAATCCAGAGAGGCGGAATCGTGGCAGGACTGAAGCAAGGTCGCAGAAAAATGAAGTGCACTGGCGCTCCATCTTGCCATCGCCACCTCAACCTCCCACACTGATTTTCCTTTTCTTTGACATAATCTTTAGCCGAGAATAAAATATCAATCGAATACATTCGTTACTTTTCTCAAAATGATCGTTTTTCGAAACCTCTGCATTTCCACTGGTGTGCCCCCTTAAGCGTTAAATGAAGTGCCCAGGCTTAACCAAGATGTAAACCCACAAGGCCCAGACTTTGCGGGGATATAAATGACCATATTCCGCACCCATCGCGAGATAGCCGCATCATGGGCGATCCCTGGTTTGGTCCCTGTAGGGCCAAAAAAGCCATTTTTCACCAATTGACCCTTTGGAGCCTCCAAAGAGATTAAAGGTGACGTCACCAGACCCCAGCATTGTGGGATCCCTTTTCTAATGTCTTCAACTGCAAAGAAAACCTCACGCCGTAAAATTCCGGGATTTTCGACCCACCCCACTTCAGACGCGCTTAAAGATGCACTGACGAGGTTGGACCGAGAGGGGTTGATTCACGCCCTACAAATTTGATGTGCAAAAAACGCAACTTTTGAAGCGGCCAGCCTGCCTAGGGTGGCCCACGGGAAAAAAAGTTTCACAATCGAGGAGCGCCGCTCGGAATCTTAAAGTCCGGCCAAAAAAAAATTTCCGCAATTTTTTGATTATTTTTTTTAGCATTTTTGGCTGAGCGATGGCGAAGCCCTTGCCGTGTTTGGGCGCACCAAAAACTGACTGGTCGCGCGTCTGTTTGTACTCACCAACGATTCTCAGCAAGTACAAAGTCTAAAGGTCTCATATTTCGCATTTAACGTCCCCTTAGTTTCTCCCAACACGAGGTTGTTTCAAATCATTGATTTGTATCGTTTGAAATATTCAAAACACCTTTTTGAATCAGATCATTAGCATGGTAAGGTTAGCAGCAGCTACCTACCAATTTTTCATACCTGCGGCCGCGGCTCTCAAATACGGGACGGAAGCAAAAAAGCAAATAAAACAAAATAAAGAGCAGAAGGGTTTGAAAATGGGGTTGCCTTAGTTTTTCAAAATTTTAAAATTCTAGATTGAATAAAACCCCTTTGGAGTATCAAAACAGCAAAATGGGGAGAATAGAAGTCAAAATGATTTACGTCTTTCGTTCCCCTTTCGCCCCTCCCCCGTTAGGGGAGCGTTCACAAATTACATAAGGGCCTTGAGGGGGTGAGGGGGTGGGGGTCGGGCAATCGTTACTAGGGGCTTATGTGGGGGGTTAGGGGGTCTAGAGCAAGCCTTATGTCAGGTTTCTGAAACGCGCTAAATAGACACTTCCTCCAGAGCGCCGAGTGAAGAACAAGAAGAATAACAAAAGCCGGAAACAGTCCATTAAAGTCGCCCCTTTGATCAAATTATTGGTTCCTTCGAGTTCTAAAACTTATTTAAAATTATATTAAGACGAATTTCATGATTGCGAACCGTCAAAACCCATAAATAAGACGTTTATGGGAACTGGTTCCGGTACCATTTCTTCCTCTTGTTCTTCACTCGGCGTTCTGGTGGAAGTGTCTATTGGGTTAAGGGGAATCTCAGGTCAGTGCACTTTGACACTGCATTGTAAAAGGAATGTTTTTTTATTGACCTTTTGTATTGTGGGCATCTTCTTATTTCATTTTCTCTTGTGTCATCTTCTTTTTAAAATTTTCATAGTTGAGGAAATCAGGGAAATGCATA